GGAAAAAAGTTAAAAAAGAAAAATCAATTGATTCAAAACATAATATGTTATAGCAAAAAAACTCAAAACCCTTATTCGAATATCATAATGGCAAAAACCTTATCTATTTTATCGTCAAAAAGTCTTCACTATTGACCACTTAAAGCTCTGAAAGCTACCACGAAGGGTTGCCTTGATTTTGGAAGAACTCGAAAAAATTGAAAATTTATCGATCTCTCGAAAAATTACAAAATAGAGGTTTTTGAGAGATTTTTTTCTCCCTAGATGAAACGGATTTGGTTTTGGGGGTTTAGAATGTCCCCCAAAACCCTTTCCCCCCCCTTTTATGTGTGTGTGTGTGTGTGGAGGGGGGGGGATTACTTTTTTGATTGTAACTGAGGGCATTTTTCTGCCCTCGGCAGCTTGCGTTGAGGTGGTGCCTAGGTGGCACCTTGCCTGCCTAGGTGGGCGCCTAGACTCAAGTCGCCTAGGTTCGCCTAGGCGTTTTAAGCGACAGGCCGCCTAATCGGCTGGGCGGTCGAATTTTTTATTATTGGTATGCACATCAGCTTTCATGAATGTATTGACATCCACTCATGGTTGTACCACTCAAATCCCATGACTTGGAGCACTTGCACTATGTCTCCTTGGGTAGTGTCCATTCTAGTAATGAAGCTGGAGCCAACTGAAGGTGGGGAAGTAGAGTTCGGCCCTGAGCTAGGCTGGGTGAGGGAGTCCGAGTGGTTGTTGCATCAAAGGCGTTGAGGTCCAGATCCACTCAAGGGAGAAGTGGAGCCGACCCAAGGGGTGAGGGATTGCTGTTGGCCGAGAGTGGGCTAGGCTTGGAACAAGGGATTGGTGGTGCGAGGTTGAATGTGGGAGCTGAAAGAGGGGGGAAAGGAACCGGGATGGCAGCTAAAGGAGGAGGAAAGAAGAGGCAAGGGTTAGATGGGATGGGTGAGTGCGCAAGGAGGAGAGGGGGGGGGGGGAGTAATTGTTAGAGAGAGGTTGCGGAGGGGAGGGGGACGAAGGTTGGAGGACTCCCCTTGCAATGGTGTGGAAGATGGGAAAAGGGGATTGAGGGGTGGGCAGTGGGGTACTGGAAATGGAGAGGGGGGCTGGGAAGAGCAGCTAAGGTTGGGGCTGAGGAGGGGATGGTTGTGGGGTCCAACATGAAGGTGTCCTGAGGAGGTGGCACAAGTTGGTTTTCGGGGTAGGTTTGCTTGTGTTGGGAGAGGGATTGAGGAATAAGGGCCATGGGGCTGGAAGATTGGTATTGGGAGATAGGAAGGACAGGGTCAAGGGTGACCGAGGTAGGAGGTGAGGAGGGGGTAGGATGGTCAAAGTGCAGGGGAGAGGGGTGGGGGAGAAAAGGCAGGCTTAAGGGAGAGGAAGAAAAGGTAAGAGAAGTTTGGGCTAGAGGGGAGGGAGAGTGGGAGGGGCTGGGTGGCAGGGAGGCCTAAAGCTTCGAAACGATAGAGTGGCCCGCTTGAGGGGGAGGAGATGGCAAGAGGATTTGAGGAAGGGAAGGCTAAGGTAACTAGGATATGCGAAGTGGAGGGAGGCTCAATGGAGAGAGGTAAGTCGGTGGAGGGAAAGGCAGGGTGGTAGTTGGATGAGGGGAGTGGATAGAGTGGATAAGAGGAAGAGGGAGGGAGTGGCCCTCACAACCGTTGGATGAGGTGGGTGGATTTCTTAGAGGAGGGATGAAGCTAGGTGTCCCATGGGGGTCTCGGGGAGTGGGCTAATTGGGGGGGAAGGCTGCAGGGAGGAATGGCAGGATAGGGGAATCACATGATTAAAGTGAGGGAGGCCTCCAGGTCGCAAAGGGGTAGGCTTGTGGTCATGTGCAGGGGTGTTGGGGACTTGGCTGAATGGGGAACTCGAGGGGGCTGGGGGGGGGGGGGGGAGAAGGTCCCATGGAGAGAGGGCCTGGTGAGTTGTCATGCTCTCGAGGGTGGTCACCACATGTGTCGTGATGGAAGAAGGAAGGAAGCGCTCCACAAGGATGGGAGGTCTAGGGCTGACACATTCCTTGCTTTAGACTGTCGGATGAGTGTGAGCAAGGGATGGAGGGTCGAGCCTTGGTAGCTGGGTTGAGGGGTCACAACGGCCACACGATAACAAGACCTATAGTTGTGATGGGGAGGCCTTTGTCCTCTGCGAGAGACTCTGGTTCAGGCACCTTGGACTTCATTAGGGGGTTTCTCACCCCCCTGGAGGTGACATGGGGACGGGGAAGTTGTCGCCCAGGATGGATGAACACAATATATAGGAGTCCTACGAAAATCCACGAGGTGGGAAGGATGGAATGAGGGTCAAGCACTTCAATGAGCAGCCTGATGGTGTACAAGGGCCAAGGGGAGCTGTTCTCTCAATTTCCTGTGCACGACACAAAATTCCCAAAGCAGTCTTGATGGATTGCAGGTTTGCGGATGACAGACATGGAGGGGGATGTTTGATAAGAGAATGCAGATTGTTTGTTTCTTGAAGGCACCTAAGAGTGGGGGCCAAGAAACTAGGGTAGGTAGGAGGAAGGGATGACTGGAGGGTCTTGTGTGTGCTATGCCGAGGAGAACAAGAACACGATGGATCCATCTGCGAGTATTCTGCACCCAATCTTGGCCCCATTTTTCAATGCCTCACAAATCTTCTCTTTAACGAAAGAATCGCCCAACCAGGGAGGAAAGTAACTTCGCCTTCTTCTCTCCAATCTAAGGATGGTCTAGAACGATGAGGTTCTGGGTAATCTCATTGCTGGGCAATGCGGCAGTATGGGGTAGGTACGATGAGGTTCTGGGTAATCTTGTTGCTGGCCAACGAGGCAGTATGGGGTAGGTGGCGAGCAAGGAAGGTCTGGGCAACGAGAGCTACTTGAGGGCAGATTCGACAGAGGTCGAGGAGGGCTTGGCCTGAAGTGGTCTAGAGGATGGGGAAGAAGGGAGTTTGGAAGAGAAGAGAGTTTGAAGAGGTGGGTATAGTTATGGTAGAGTAGAGAGAGGGGGAAGGGTGTAGGAGGAGGGGAGGGGCTTGAAGGAGGAAGGATGGTTGTAGGAGGGCATCTTCTTCGCGGCTCAAAAACTTGAGCAGCCTTCACATTTCCACACATTATTGGTAAGCACGTCTAATCTACAAAACGATGAGAATTAGGGCCACATAATTTTATTTTTTCTATTTAACCATCAATATTTAGTCTAGTGTTTCTTGAACTTAAAACAAGGGTATTTTTGGAATAAAATATTTGTTTCAAATCTGGCATATTTATGGTATTTTAAATTTGTTACAGGAAACAATTTGAGTCGGAAATCTAGTGGCCCATGTGGGAACTATTGAGGGACACAGTCAGTGTCCATGTGGGTCCATTTGAACGACATGGAGGCCACTGGCCATGGGGTCCATGGGAAGGTCAAAGGTGGTTTTAGCATGGGTCCCATGGAATCTTCTAGATGGTGCCTGAGAACCATGTGTCTTCTATTTCAATTAAGTTGCCAAGAAGATTCTAGGTGGTTAGGTCATTAAGATTTGATAATTTGGTTAGGAGGTTGATCTATCATAGGAAATCTTATCTAGTTGGGAGCTAGTTATTAATCCTAACTAGATTTGGAAGTCCTATGGAAGATATCGTTGAACTTCATCTAGAAGTTAGGAGAGAATTGGAAAGTAAAAGTCCTAGGAGTAATGGTGCATGGTCAACCCTTGATCTGTGGTGGATGGCCAGGGGATTGATGTCTGAAGGTTAGCACCCTCTGACCATTATTCCATTAACAGAGAGAGAGAGAGAGAGAGAGAGAGAGAGAGAATCTAGTCACACCTAGACTCTAAAACTCACACAAAACGGAGAGAAGACGAATGAAATGGCCTTCTACAAGGTGCACCATTGATCTGGAAGATGAGGTGGTATGTAAGAAGTCCTAGGAATGACCCTAAGCAAATCTTTTTGCTGATTTTGCTGCAGACAATTGACTGTTTTTGGTGCACTCATGGACTGATGTGCTGGCAACTTTTCAGGGGCCATGGTATGTTGGCCTTTTGTGATTTTGTGACTAGTTTTATGTGTGAAAATTTCAGTGTACGAAAGTTTTAGACCATGGAGATATGGGGGTTCTATTGGAAGGTGTTCTATCTGGTTTCTGCTGAATCACACCTTGTGTCACCTTGGTCATCTTGCCACATTCATTTATCCTTTCGTACATGGGACCTATGATACCCTAGAGTTCTGGTTTCTTAAAAAAAATTTCTGTGATTTTCAGAAGAGGAGGGGGTCTTATGTAATATTTATTGTCATAAGACAAGTTAATAAGACAGTTAAGAAAAGTACATATTCTACAAAATTAAGTAACATTGGTCGTGCTAGCAGCTCAAGTATAATTATCACTGCCAAACCACATCAGGACTTGTAGTTTCTTGAAGTCATTGCAAGTTTCAGCTTTCTGACTCATGGGAAAATTGTCTCACTCGACTTAAGGCAGGTTTTCATATTGCCATATGAGGTAAATTTATAACAGTTGTTGTAGAAATTCATGCGTGCCATTCATTTTCATTCTATTTGGTGCCTGAAGAACTCACTATTTCCCGAACCAAGGATGTTCTTTTGTAGGATTTGTTGTGGGCTTTGTGCAATCTCCTGGGATTGGAGCTTACCTACACGATTAAGTTTTTCTAGCAAGTTATATTTCACAAGCCTTTTCTTGAAGTTGTCACATCTCTTATTGGGAAAGAAGAAATTGCATCTCAAAGCTGAAACACCCTTACATACACACTTCTTATTATCCTTATTGAATATTGAGTGCTTGTGAAGTCTAACACTTGATTGGAACTTGCTTTCAGCTTTGCAAGGAATTGTCAATCATGAACATGATTACTCTAGTGGAGTTTTTTCGTGCCCTTTTTCTTCTATGTTGTTGAGTTGTTTATGCAAGTCAAATGTTTACTCCAGTAGTTGTTCAAAATATGTCGTTGTTCACTTGTTGAAATTATGTTGCTCTCACTTATGTATGAAAGCTTGATATTTCCATTTGCAGATTTTGTTCAGGGAGGATGCCACTGTGGATGATCTCATTGATGTAATCGAAGGAAACCGTCGATATATGAAGTGCATTTATGTGTATAATAAAATTGATGTCATTGGGATTGATGATGTCGACAGACTTGCCAGGCAACCAAACTCTGTTGTCATTAGCTGCAATTTAAAGGTAAGTGTCAATTTCCATAATACAGTGAATTTTCGTGCCTGTGAAGAATAGTGAGGTGTGCTACTTAGATTCTTACAGAATTGAGTGCCCTTCACATTGCTGGATCTTGAATGTCTGGTTTCTTAATTCTTAATGATGGCATGTTCTTTTTATTTTATTGGTGCAGCTCAACTTAGATAGGCTGCTAGCAAAAATGTGGGAAGAAATGGGGCTTGTAAGAGTTTATACAAAGCCACAGGGGCAGCAACCTGATTTCTCAGAGCCTATTGTTCTTTCTTCTGTGGGTTGAATAATTCTTTCAGTTGCCTTTCTATTGCCTTTTTATCTAAAATTGCTGAGTAAACTTAGCACTCATGGACTCTGATAATCTGTTCTGCATTAACTCTTTTCAGGACAGAGGTGGGTGCTCAGTGGAGGACTTCTGTAATCATATACATAGAAATCTTTTGAAAGATCTGAAGTACGTGCTGGTTTGGGGCACCAGTGCAAGGCACTACCCCCAACATTGTGGGATTTCACACATGCTGCATGATGAGGATGTGGTTCAGGTTGTGAAGAAAAAGGTAAGCATGTTCATTACTTTGTCATAGGCTTTATAATAGCATCAGTTTTCTCTTAGGCTTTGTTATGGCATCAATGATTTTTTGGCTTTATTATGGCATCAAAAAGGTAAGCATGTTTGTTACTTGTCAAATGGGGAATTTGACTTTGAATAGTTTTAGGTTGGCATCAATTTACTCTTTTCAATAAACTCTTTTGCGTATGTTCTTTTTCACTTTTCTGTAGTTGACGTGCTTTTCTGAAGCTTGGTTAAGCCTATTCACCCAAAAAAAAAAGTTTGGGAAAGCCTGTGATCTGAAGAAATGCTTCCTGTTAACATGTGATTCGACAGATCAGCCAAATATGCAAGTGCTGTGAGTTGCATGCCACATGATTCTTGCATGTAGCATTGACATAATTTATGATGAATGGACTTGCAATTGGCGACTGACTTTCTAGTCACAAGACGTTTGTGTTGACTGTAAAATGAAAAAAACGTTCGAGCCTACTGATCATAAACTGGCCATTTTCTGTTCTGCAGCCTAGGTTATCTAGGAATCTAAGATCACTTGCAAGCTATGTTTTCCCGTGGGAATGCAATTATGATATTTGATTTGAAGCAATGCATATACAACGTTACATGGGAATCTACCATCAGATTCAAGGTCACACTTTATTGACCGCTTTTCCGTATGATTGTCCTTCTACTTATGGAAATGCAAAACCGAACACCTATTTCTTTTGGTGGAGTTTTCTAACCGGAAATTTTGTTCTACAAAGCTAAAAAAATGTTACTTAAGGTTTTAAGGTTGAACTCAGCTGAACACTTGTGGAAGCCACTAGCCTGGTTAAATTGTGATTTAGAAGCTTTAAAGCGTTGTCAGAGTTTTAAAATAATTTCAGAGAGACCAGGAAGAATGAAATTAATTAGTAGGAGAGGATGAGTATATGTTGAATCTCACATGAGAATCGAGAGGTAACAATTCAAAGGCCATTCATGATCTCAAGATTTGTCTATATAAGGAAATTGATACCAAGGGCTTGATGATTCTTCTTTAATTCTTGGTATTGAGATGGCCTGGTACTGTAAGGGCATTTCTACACAAAGGAAGCACATTATGGATTTTTCCGAGGAGATGGAAATGGCTACCTGAAACAGCATCTCAGACGCCCTGATGTAATGGGGGGAAGAACCATTGGGGAACAGTGTATCAGGGTTTACTAGTAAGACATGTCTAACTGCCATTACCAGGATGGAAATTGCACTTTTCATATGACAAACCAGTTTATACATTCTTCATGTGCGACCCATGGATGTGGTCACCATCATATTAGGGTACTTGATGTTCTCACCTGGAATTTGAGATTATAGTATACAAATAGGTGTGTACATATTTAAGGCTTGCTTGGCCTTTTTTCTGTATGGTGACCCTTTAGGACCCTACAATGGAGGTGGTTGATGTATTTTTGTACATTGTAGTAGTAGTTTGATTCTTCTTGCGATGGTTTTATCTGTTGTTTTGAATATACTTAGTAATATATATACCTCTGTGTGTGTGTTTGGTGATGATGACAGGGGGGAGAGGGGGAGGGATTGAGGGAGGGAGGGGGGTGGTGATGATGAATGTTATGAAATATATATACCTGTGTGTGTGTGATGGGATCGAGGGAGGGTTTGCAGGACCAGCAAGCTTGAGCATGTCACTCCCAGGATGGATGTGGCCACAGCTCAAGCTGGTCTTCCCAATTCTGTTGGTCTAACAGAGTCTTTGTTACTCATAATCAATCCATAATCTTGGTTTACATATAATTCAATCCATTATGGGTGACTATATCTGCTGATCGCATAAGTTTTATGATATCAGTTTCTCTTGTGTTTGGATTATCATTTATGATTTGATTCTTTCTGCAGGAGAGGGAAGACGGAGGAAGAGGTCGATTTAAGTCACACTCGAACACTCCTGCACGAATATCTGACAGAGAGAAGAAAGCCCCTTTGAAAACATGAAGAATATATTCTGAACATCTCTCATATAAATTCACAGCCTTGGTTTTTGGGGGTCTCACCAGTCTTATCACATTGATATCTATAGCCTGAAATGATCTCATTTGTATGTGTAGCATGTTTTATGCTTATCCGTGTCTCAGTTAGAAATCTAGTATTCTAGTGTTTATTTTTTTTCTTGTTTAGTTCAAAATATAACATATTAATAAATAATTCATGGGCAACTCAGTTGTTCTTATTTAGACATACTGCATTCATTTCACAAGCTGTCATTCTGAAAATTTTGGGAGAGAATATGAGGAGACTTCTGAATGGAAAAGACCAATGAATTGAAGTCGGGAAATCGCAGTTACTCAGAATGTTTTAGGATCGCTATTGGATCTTGACAAGAGGAAAGAAGCAAATATTGTTTGAAGTAATGGAGAGTTGTGATGCTTATTGAATGATTAGCAGGCAGCCCCATGCAATGCAAGGGCATGAGACTAGGGTAAGGGAGAATACTTGGAGAGTTTTTTGGGGTAGAAATAATAGTAAAGTTTGAATGAGAAACTACTTTTGGAGTCCTTATTTTGGAGTAGAAATAATAGTAGGTTTGTTGGAAGAGTACATTCATATGCCTTCGATTTTTTAGAAGAAAAAGGAAGAGCGAACGGGTTAATTTTCTCATTTAGTGCTCTCAGTACATTGTTATCAAGAAAATTCTAGACATTCAAATTACATCATTTAACAATGGAAACCCTTAAATAACTTATGGGCACTAACGCATTTCTTTATTCTAACAAATCCTCGTTCCTGAGGGTGGGATGAAATTTATAAACGATCATTCAAATTTGAAATCTGATGTGGAACTGAAACCTTTAAATATGGGTAATCAGTAACACAACCTTCTCAACTCACCTTTTAATATATAAACTTAAACGGACCATATGAAAACTTAGTTATCCACCTTACTAGCTTTAACTTGCATATCCATTATTAATTTCTTCCAAATTGCTCCTCACTATTGTTACTTTAGAGCAATTTTTAGGTGAATAAGACATTTTTTTGTTAATTCAAATGGCTAAATTTGCTTTCAGATCAGATACATGTTATTTTAAAGAAAGATTTTTATGGGATGCCTTAAATGTTGTGATAAATTCATTGATATAAAATATGGGAAAGTGTAGAATGAGACCATTTATCTTTAATACAAGGTGGTCACAATAATCTTGACCATTGGATGTGAATTGGTTGGTTGCAATTATTTAATTGATCAAGCTTAAACTTCAAAGAAATTTTCTCAAACTTCGTGATACATCCAAGCTATCAAATTTCACATCAGTTAGTTGTATTAAAGGTAAATGGTCTTATTTGTATGCAATCTAATAAAATATTATCAAAGTTATTATGCACATTAAAATTAATCATAATAAGTAAGAAAAGTTTATATAAGGTTTCAACCTTAAAATGTAAAAAATATAGGTTGTTTTTTTTTTTTGTTTCAAAAAAGGTTGTTTGGATGTTGGAAAACCCTTTAATTGATCATCTCTGCATCGCTCTATATGAATATGAAAAGAAAAAAAGATTTTGAGTATGTGTAATAGTCTCTTGCAACATAATATAATATATTATTTGGACAGTCTATTTTCAAGATTTTCATGTGTTTATAGATTTACTTGAATTGAACCATTTTTAGAGTTTAAAATTTTGTAATTAGAGATGAAAATAAATTCTCAAACCATCCTAAGAGTTTTTTATATTAAAATTATATTGATGATAAAATTCATAGGTGTGCCTTAATTAGATTGTTTAAGTTTGCAACCTTATGCAAACCACACCCTAATAAATAAAATAAAGATAATTTCATAGCAGGAGAGAGAGTTCTCACTAAGCACCCAATTGGGACGAGAGTGAGATGAGGGGCATAATCGGTAAGGTTGGGTACGAGGTTGGCTCAATTTTTGGATCCGATGGTTTGACTTGACCTGCTTTGGATCTGGATTTAAATATTGGACTTGATAGGTTGAGTCTAGATACACATGACTTGGACTCGTTGTAAGATGGGTTTGGGCTAGGTCCCCTTTAGATTACAACCTGACCCAATCTGGTATACACTAATACAAAATCATATAGCCTATGTATCTAATTTTTTTTATATATTTATATATATATATAAACCTTGATTAAAGTACCCTACGGTTCAGGTCACAGTCCAGGTCCGAGTCCAATTGACTAGGACCCGACCTGAGTTCAGGTCTACTTTAGACCTAGTTGGGGCGGTTATGGGCCGGGGTAGACCCTGACCTGACATGACCCATTCCCACCTACAATAATCACATATGCTCCATCCCTTTCCTCGCTCATCCGCGCATTATATGAGCCTCCTCCTTATCCAAAATCAACCAATTCCAAAAACAAAGGAAATGCTGGAGCCCATCCCAAATGAGAAGTTAGAAGTTCAAATTGGTGGTTGGTTTCAATGGCAAAACAAAGCTTTGGGCACATATGCTCACCCCTCCCCCTTCCCCTCTTTCCATTTTATTCTCTTTGCTTCACCTCTCTCTTCTCTCTCTCCTCTTTTCTCTCTCTCCTCGTCTCTCACTTTTGTATAGGGTGGCAAGGCCCCGATAGACTCGGGACCCGACCTGACCTTGGGTCCAAATATGGGTCGAATACATATACTCATAAGGCATATGTGTTTTTGGGCAGCGGTAGGTACTCATATCGTCACAATATCGGTAACATTTATAGTATTAAGAAAAGGAAGCTCATAGTCATAGGAAATATATGATAGTAAAAAGAGAAAATTATATAAAAGCCTCAAAAATATACTTTCTAGGCACTTTACCCCATCCTAATTTTTCTTGGCATATTTTTCTCAAAAATCAAGCTTTATAATAAATACTCCCAATGCAAAACGTTCATTTTATTTGCAAAAATACCATTACAAATCATAAATGAAAATGCAAGACCGTGGTTGTATATTGCTGAACCCAATCACTATGTCGGATCAGAACTGTACACTATCGGGCCGCCTATTACAGACACAATTTTCAATTTTGCCGGACCGTAGCTCACAAATGCCGGACTGCTCATTAATCCAAAAACAAATGCTGGATTGCCTCTTCCAAACTCCGGACTGCCATGATGAAGTGCCGGACCGCCATGGTCAATGTGAGAAGTAAGGAAACTCCGGACTGCCATGATGAAGTACCGGACCGCCATGGTCAATGTATGAAGTAAGGGAGGGAAATTTTTAGTATAT